AAACCACGAGAGGACAGAGACTGAGCAATTGAAGAGTTCGAAGAAGAGGAGCATGATCAACGGTGTCAAAGGCAGCAGAGAGGTTAAGAAGAATTAGTATGGAGTAGTGGCCTTTGGATTTAGCTGCGATTAGGTCGTTAGTAACTTTGATAAGAGCAGTCTCTGTACAGTGGAGAGGGCGGGAGCCAGATTGAAGAGGGTCGAGGAGAGAGTTGGAATTGAGGAAGTGAGACATACGGGTAAAGACAAGTCTTAAACACAAGAAATGAGAAACATAGAGTACAAAAGCTAAAGGAATCTTGGATAAATAATTAACATACAAACTTAGATTTTGATTTAATCTTATTCTAACTATAAAATGTTTGTTGGTCATTATCAAGCATGTTAATTATATAATAATATTACAAAGTACAAATAATCCAGTATCTGCAAATTTAGAAGGTCTATCACACCACATGTCATGGACTTGAGCTAATATATCTCCTTTTAATATCTCTGCTAACATATTTCCTTTGAATTTCTTTACTTGCTTTGCTTTCATTTCATATGATATTGGACAAGAGTCTCGAGCAGTGGTTCCCAACCCAGTCTTCAAGTACCCCCTAACAGTCCAGGATTTAGGAATTACCCAGTTGAGTTTAAGGTGTTTTTAGAAAAAATAAAATTTAAAAAACACTTTAGAAACAACAGGGTAACCCCTAAATCCTGGACTATTAGGGGGTACTTGAGGATTGGGTTGGGAACCCCTGGTCTAGAGGACTCACAAGAGGGGTATCTTGTAAGATTTCTGCACTAAAGTGCAAATGGCCCCATACCAAATTGTGCAACTCAGTTTTTGTCCGTACAGATTTCTACATTTGCTGATTGTCATTTATCGTTCTAGCGCAGTAAATAAATATAAAAAAAACTCACTATTTATTCTGTGAGTTCAATAGATATAATGATGAAAACAAATGAGTTGTATAAACATTACGCATATCTTCTTGCAGAGACCGCAGTAAACATAGGATATTCTTGCAACCTGCTCACAAGTGACATGAGGATATTTGAGTACAGTGATATACGGTATGGCAACATATATATGATTTATAGGATTCTATAATGGTTATTGCAATAAGGGCAACTGTTGTGTTCTGATATGATATTTTAGTAAAGATTCGCTATGCAATGGCATATTAGACAGACCCCATCCACATGAGCAGTCTGGAATTTAAATGTTTCTTTTATGCTAGAGATATACTACCCCAAGCAATCATATTGGCCTTCTTTGGTCCTTAACTGTGAGGTATAGCTGATAACGAACGAAGCACAGTGTTACATGTGGATTTCCCTAAAGACCTAGTGAGCCTGTAAGAAAATGCACATAAGCCAAAAAAGAACATGTGAAAGCACAATGAAAAGGCAAAATCTCAGTTGATGAGTCCTTCAATTAGTCCCCATTAATCAATGTTCGAATTAAGGAGAACCATGAATGGAAAACCACCTTTTAATACCAAGTCAAGGAAATTTGTGATGCCTTTTTGGATTCTATGATCTGCTCGGACGTGTGAAAAGACGATCAACAACTGTTTGTGATCATGTACCTTCAGACATATTGGTGTGGTCACCTCTAGTCTTAGCAGGGTATACTTCCCCAAGCCTTTCTTCCATGTGGTTCTCTTTATTTTTAGAATTAGGCAGGTATTCCAAAACATCAGTGCAGGAAGAGTGTTGGGATACCTCTCACTGGTCACCTATGCACACAAGATGATTATCTAACCAGACCAAGCAAGACATGCAGTAGGATCCCTTAGTGTAACTATTTTGGTTGAAACATTGGTTCCTACTAACTAAATTTGCTTTTGGAAATATATTTTTGTTGTTAATCCACCTCCTCTTTAAGAAGATACCTTTGTCATAGGTCTGTACATTGTCATAGGTCTGTACATGAAAACAGTGTTAATTTGGGGGGCAAATTTCAATATAGTTTTAGTCAGTCTTTTGACTAAAAAGCCATTTTAGTTTTAGTCGTATTTTAGTCACCTGAATAATCGACTAAAATTAACACTGCAAAAAAACACTGCCATCACAGTAATACCCCCACACTATGCTATATAATTGACTCTGAATATAGTGCATTGTCAAAAATTATTAAATTGGAGATGGATTTTTTTTTTATTCAAAAAATTCTTGAAAATTTTGAGTCAACATGAAAAAGTGCAACAATGAGACGCTGGGCATTTCAGGATCCCACATAAGGCCCCAGCCAAAGACAGCCCCTCAGAAATCTTGTTTAAAACACTAAAATATAACTCGCTCTTCCCATTTGACACATAATTAATAATTGATTCATATTTCTCTCTTAGACAAAAGCTGGATAATATTTTGGAAAATAATTCAAATGGTCATGGAAAGTGGAGAAATGTGCTGAATACTGATGGAACATTTGGCAAGAGCGCATTGGTCCTTACTGGAGAGGACTTGGTAAGAAAAATCTTATCAGCAATGAAACTTATCAACAACATATTTTAAGAGAAATATATGACCCATCAGAAGAATTTCACTGGAACTTTTTTTAAAATCACAGCCTAAGTACACATTCTATTCCACTGACTCATCTGTCTTCTCAAATACTTACTGTAACGGCACTTACCCAGTCCGCGTGCCGACAGGAGTCCTTCGATCCAGACGAGCCGGGTGCGTCTCGAACACTCCTGGCAAGCCACGCGCACCGAACAGACTGACCGTACAGTATTGGGAATGCTGCTCACAACGCGAGCACGTTCTTAAAGGGGAAATGGAAGCCTAACCTTGTGGTCAGCTCTCATTGGCCCACGTCATTCTGGCACCCCCATTCACGTACGTTTTGGGGCGCAGGCATGACACAGACCAATCAAATTAAACAAAGACTTATTTAAACTTACCTGGTCCTAGATTCTGTGCCCTATTGTGGTTTCTGTTGCAAGTAACCTTTAGTGCATTCCTTGTGTTATTGTATTGTATTCTGGTATTGACTCTGAGTTTATCTTTAACCCTTGCCTGTCCTGTTTGCCCATCTGATTATTACCATGTACCTGACTCTGGCTAGTTCTCATTTTGCTGTCTCTCCGTTACCCAGACCTTGGCTTGTATTTTGACTAATCTTTACTACATCTAACATTTAGTCCGGCCACTCTAAGGCCCAGTAAGACGTTTATATTTCCGTTGTCCGTTCCTCGCTATCCTGTGTGTTAGTGTTATACTCCGTGACACTTACCTGACTGGGTGATTGATTAAAAACGTCAACAAATGCATTCAAGTCCCTGGTGTATGTGTTGTTTAATTATGTTTTTTGACATATAATACTATAATGCGGAAGTAGTAATTCCATAAGATCAATGAGCTAAAAGACTGGGCAGTCTTCAAGCGCTGTTGAGAGCCCAACTTTTGTCATACTACTTCTTCTAATTGGTTTGGCATAGAAACAAAACATGGTAAGATATTACTATCCAGAAATGTTATGAACTCAGTTTTGTGAATTTTGTATTTTCTTTTTGTTTTCTGAGCCATGTCAGCATTTCAAAGATTTGCTCCTCCCTCCATCCTCAAATCCTAAATAGAACATTGAAAAATGACCTTCTACCATAAGCAGAAATGGCAACATTTGAAGCCTGACAACTGTTCTGTGCAACTGAAACCTAGTCTCCTATCAAAGGAATCTTAGATAAAACATTGAGCATCTTTGTGTGTAATTCAAGACACCAGCCTAAATTGAGTGACTAATCCAGAGATGACTACTTTACAATGGTTAATAAACCTGTTTCCTAGTTCACCAAGGCTCCTTGCAACCTGTAAGACATTATGCATCTACTTCTTAACCTACATTTGGCATCTTCAGTCGTCATTTTAACATTGCAAGCTACCCATTTTAAAAGAAGCAGATCCATAGGAGATAATTGAGTAACAATAACAAGTCATGTAAATAGACCCTTTGCACCCAGAGACAACTGGCCGTTCATCGGTACTATTGGACCACTTATGTGATTTTTAGTACAGCAAAAAGACGTTCTCAATATGATTTCTGTAGTAATACATACAGCACTCAATATTTTAATTTAAGTTACAATGACATTAAACTAATAATTGTATGTATTAATGGAACAATTTTCTCTTCCAGATTGATTTGTTGGATTCTAATGAAGAGGATCCCAAGATATCTTTATGGGAGAAGCTGACTTTGGTCATGACAAGGAAGGCTGGGAAAAGTCATTCTAATATGAAGGCAAAAGCCCTGGTGGAACTCTCACATCAATTCCAATCTGTCATCTGTTCCAGGGTAACACCAAATCAGAAGGCTGCCATTGTTCAGCTAGTAAAGGAATATATGAAGGTCATCACGCTCTGTATAGGTGATGGAGGGAATGATGTTAACATGATAAAAAGTAAGTAAGAATATACAAGTTTTGTGCACAAAGAAACCCCACAAAATATTTCTCCCACAAAAATGCCACATAATTTTCCATTTATATGAAGTGATTTCCAGCATTGTTTTTGAGAACCTGTACATTTAGGCTTTCTGTTGCCAAAGTAAACCAAGCCCCACTCCCCCTCAAATGTATGTATGCATCATTACATGTGTGAGTACATCCAGGGGCAGACTGAGAGCCTTTGGGGTCCCCGGGCAAAATTAGATCCCAGGCCCTTTGAAGGCCAAATATATGTGCATTAAATAAATGTTAAATATAATTCATAATACGGCATTCCTTTGGATGTGTATATTGTGAAGACCTGTGTATCAATGCATGTTTGTATTTGAGTCTGTGTGAATGCACTTGTGCATGTCTGGATGACTACATGTGCTTTTTTGTATATAGTGTCTGTGTGAATGCATATGTGACAGGTGACAGAGTGTGTGAGGGAGAAGGTGACAGGTGGAAGAGTGTGGGAGGTTGTGACAGGTGGCAGAGGGAGGGAGGGGTTGAGTGGTGGCAGAGTGAGGGAGAGACACTGAGTGGGGGTGACTGGTGACAGAGTGAGGGAGTGGGTGACTAGTGACAGAGGGAGGGAGAGGGGGTGACTAGTGACAGAGTGAGGGAATGGGTGACTAGTGGCAGAGTGAGGGAGGGAAGAGATGACTATTGGCAAAGTGAGGGAGGGAAGGGGTGACTAGTGACAGAGTGAGGGGATGACTGGTGACAGAGTCACCCCATCCTTCTCTCTGTCACTAGTCACTCCCTCCCTAACCCTGTCACTGTGTCACCCCCTCCCTCCCTCTGTCACTAGTCACCCCCTCCCTCACTGTCACTAATCACCCCCTTCCTCACTCTGTCACTAGTCACCCCATCCCTCTCTCTGTCATTAGTCACTCCCTCCCTAATTCTGTCACTGTGAAGGAAGGAAGGGGTGACTGGTGACAGAGTGAGGGGATGACTGGTGACAGAGTGAGGGAAGGGATGACTAGTGGCAGAGTGAGGGAAGGAAAGGATGACTGGTGACAGAGTGAGGGGATGACTGGTGACAGAGTGAGAGAGGGGGTGACTAGTGACAGAGTGAGGAAGGGGGTGACTAGTGACAGAGTGAGAGAGGGAGTGACTAGTGACAGAGTGAGGGAGCGGGTGACACAGTGACAGAGTTAGCGATGGAGTGACTAGTGACAGAGAGAGGGATGGGGTGACTAGTGACAGTCACCACCTCCCTCACTCTGTCACTAGTCACCACCTCCCTCCGTCACTGTGTCACCCCCTCCCTCACTCTGTCACCAGTCATCCCCTTACTCTGTCACTAGTCACCCCTCCCTTCCCTCTCTCTGTCACTAGTCACCCCCTCCCTCTCTCTGTCACTAGTCACACCCTCCCTCAGAGTGAGGGAGGTGACGACTAGTGACAGTGGGGGTGACTAGTGACAGTGAGGGTGACTAGTGACAGTGAGGGGAGTGACTAGTGACAGTGAGGTGACTAGTGACAGTGAGGGGGTGACTAGTGACAGTGAGGGGGACCCAATGACCCGGTGGGGGTGACTAGTGACAGTGAGGGGGACTAATGACAGTGAGGGGTGACTAGTGATACGGGGGTGACTAGTGACACGGGGGGGTGATTAGTGACACAGTGAGGGGGGGGTGACTAGAGCCTACCTGTCTCTCTGCTCCCTTTGGTCTCCCAGGCTGCTGCTCCTTCCCCTCGCTGATCGAGCTCTGTGTGTGAGAGGAGTAAACAGGAAGTGATGTCACTTCCTGGCCCGCCTCTCCCATCACACAGAGCACCGCGTGGGACAGGAAGCAGGAGACCTGGCAGAGACCAGGTGAAGCTGCTAGGTCTCATGTAGGGGAGGGGGTGACTTGCAGAGCCGTAGGTTGTGGGGCCCCGCGCTGCATCAGGGGCCCCACAACCTATCAATTAAATAGTTTTATTTTATAAACTGGAGCATGGCTGTGCTGCCGGGCCCCTGACTGCCTCGGGCCCTCGGTCCATGACCGATATGCCCGAGTGGTCAGTCTGCCCCTGAGTACATCCCTGTGATCTCAGCCAGTCCAATGCTTCTTGTCACGAGCGTGGGCTATAGGCCCAGCCGAGACAGTGGGGAGAGTGTGGAAGTGACAGGGTTAATGACACCAGACCCCTGGTTACCTGTTGCTAGTCCCAGCAACCACTCAATTAGCCCCTGCAATCCCTTCTACACTAACCCCCTTAGTACACACTTTACTGCCACCACCAAGACTTTAAACCCGGGCGTCTTAGGTTACCCCACACACAGGAGAATTATAGAATCACAGTTCTACTTTTACTGATCAAACACATATAATTAACCCTTTTTGGTAACGTGTTTACCTGAGCTTTCCTCTGGAGAGTGAAGCTCATAGAGAACAGAGACACAAGCTGAATAAGTAAACATTTAATCTGACAAAAAAGATTCACAGTGCTGAGTACAAAATACAGAAATAAATGACATACAGATAACAAATTGTAAAACAGTACATAAAAAAAAATAAGAGAAAACACAAGAAATTCCTTACATGTATTTACCCCATATAGAATTCTTGTGGGAGTCTTAGATGGCATAGGTCTCCTAGAAGTTGCTGACCAAAAAAGAAATGAATAACTGAACTGGATAGTCCAATACCCTCATTAATATATCTAAACTAGTTGTTGCTCAGTGGGCATACCCCTGGCAGGGGATCAGAGGGGGTTGGTCTGGCAGTTTATTGCCCACCCTATGCAATTTCTTGTGTCCAGATGTTTTATGGTGTAGGCCTGGTGCCAGATCAAAGACCACAATAAATGTCATCCCAAGGTTTACAAAAAAAACAACTCTTAACATATATCATTACATCAAACACCAACTCATGCTTTTGGCATGACACTTCTCCATGGAGAAGCACTGTGGGATGAAAGTGTGGGTGCTTGGTAATTTCCGCACTGCGCCAGTCAGCGTCTCCTCGTGGAGATGCATTGACTCAATTCATCTCAATGGGGAGCATTTAGTGTCGAACTTTGGTCCTGCAATCTTTGCAAGACCTCATCCAGGAGCATGGGACGTGTTTTTGTATATTGCTTTGATGATTCAGAGTCTTCTCCCTTGGAGAATAGGATTTTGAGTTGAACTCAAAATTTTGAGATGGAATACTACAGAGTGAAATTGCTTTCTTTGTTTGCGCTGCTAAGTCACCTGGGATTTCCAGAAGACTTCAGAAGGGCAGTGGAGGCATTGGATTCCCAGTTATAAATCCAGATTCTTATTCAAGGAGCATGTCCTTACCAAACTTCCACTTTGCAAATAAATATATATGAAATCACTTTACCTCTCTGCCATATCTTTAGAACCCTTACTCTACCTTATAATAAAACACCCTGGGATTGAGGGCTTCGCTGTAGTGAGTATTGCCTCTAAAACGTCAGAGTATGCTGTTGATATTATCCCCCTCCCCAAAATTGCATGATCTACTACACTCTTTTTTTTTTTTTTTGGTTATCATGGTGTAAAATCAAGAGCAGTGTCCTGGGGTTTGCTCACCGTGGACACAGCACAAATGAAGGACCTATACCAGATCCAGATAGCAACTCTGTCCTGCAAGGATACATCACACAGCAGATCCCACTCAAAGATCTTGCCTGAGAATTAAATTACCATTTTTTTTCACAGATAAAGCATATACAGATTTGGTAATAAAAGTGGTCAAGAAGTATCTACTACATTGCCCTTGTTAGAACACCATTTTTTTTTCTACTACTACGTCAGTGAGAAACAATAGAAATACTGAATAAACTGGTCTACTGAGACACTTGCAGCAGGAAGATTATCGATTTATTTCCTTGGCGATGTTTTGTAAAATAATACTTCCTCGTATTGAGATAATTCTATAAGGAACTTTTGCTGATGCTCTGGACGTGTTGCATCCTTTAAATTACTACTTGTGTAACTTCAGGTTAGGGCAGAGCAGGGGTAGGCAATCTACAGCACTCCAGATGTTGTGGACTACATCTCCCAGAATGCTCTTACGGTCATGATCCTGGCAAACCATCATGGGAGGTGTAGTCCAAAACATCTGCAGTGCCGAAGGTTGCCTATCCCTGGGCTAGATTATAGCATCAAATAAGCACAATAAACGTGCATGATTGTGTACAGAACTCTACCATGGAATACCGTGATGTATCAACTTGGCTATATGTGCATATGTTGAATACAAAGAATAAACTGGGCCATGAGTGCTATGACAAAAGGATAAAAGAAAACCAGAAGTTAACTGTTGACAAGGTGGGAAAAGTATGGCATTTTCAAACACATAATATCCAAAGAAATGGCAATCAAAATATATCCCTGTGGCACTCTGATATGGATCTCCTGATCAAGGTAGCTGTGGGGAGAGGGAGGTGATACATTTGGCAGAAAAATGCAAGGCAATAAATAACACTATTTCTGTCAAAGTAGACTATATTCAAGTTAGAATTTGTTGGACAGAGGTGGAAGTGGCAGCTAGAGGTAACAGGGGACGGAAGTATCAAATTCTAACCTTTGACAACTCTGCAATCTTTATTTACGGTCTTAATTGAATAAACCTTGAATACTTTGGATTTCTTTATCTTTGACTCTCCTCCATTGCCCTCCTATCCACAGTATAGGTAAATATGAATTCAGGAGTCTCAACATGTGTGTTTGTTTTTTTTCACAGCTGCCCACATTGGGATTGGAATCTACGGAAAGGAAGGTCTACAAGCTGTTCTTGCCAGTGATTACGCCATAGGGCAATTCTCCTTTCTCAAGCGACTACTCTTCCTACATGGACGTTTGTCATACATCCGCTTGTCAAAGTATTTGTGTTATTACAACTACAAGACATTAGCCAGCCTAGTTAACAATTACTGGTTTGGGTTCTTCAATGGATTTTCTACTCTGGTAGGTTTAGTTTATGCCCAACACCACCCACCACACAATGTTTGCTACTAACATCCACCAAATATATGAAGAAGCATGCATTGTTCATATTTCCCAGTAGTATACCCAATTACAATACAATGGGCTTCTCTATTATTTTAATTATTTTTTATGCTTTCTCTTTGAGCAACATTTGCATTTTAAAAGGATTGCTCCAACCAAAAACAGTATTTAAAGACTTTACTCCCCCACCCGTCGGGCACTCTAATCTTCCTCCACTGATGGCGTTCCTCCACGATGGAAGGGGAGCGATGTCAGAGGGTGGACTGAGGCTGAGCAGTACAGAGGGGGGCCAAGTCACCACTTCAAAGCACCATGACCACTTCAACTACATGACATAACCCTTTAATACAGTTTACAACATCATATCCTACATAATTTTACAGCAACAGTAGTCAATTCTAAAATACTTCTTCTGAATATATATTTTCTTTTTCTTACAGTTGACATTTGAGAGCTGGTACCTTGTATTTAATGCCATCCTGTACACTTTTTTTCCTGCAATTTACATTGCAATCATGGACAAGGTAAGTGGTGGATTTTTTTTTAAAGACTAATAAATTACCTCTTCATGATGAATAACCATCTTTTATACAAAACTCTAATGAACATAATACGGACTAGGAAGATGCATCGCCAACTTGTTTTATCATTCTCACAAAACATAGTAAACATAACATTCTAAAAATGTAATAAAAAGGACTATTACTCTCTGGTTTAACCGCTTTCATACTTTCAGATATCATAAGAATCCTATCACCTTTACATTTAAATATGCTTAATATTTTTAAAGCAGAATTTCTCCGCCGCATACAAGTTTTTCTGCTCCCAAATACCGTTAAAAAGGATAACGTAAACTGTGAAACAAAATCTCTAAACCGATGAAGTGTAATAAGTTGCGGCTGATTAATCTAGAGT